ACGAAATTTTCCGTGCTTTCCTCTCCATTTATAGAAACTAAACAAGGGCTACAATTTTTTAAGCCCAGTTTCAGTTTTATTTTTTAAAGCTTATGACTTTTTTTGCTACTCATCAAACATTGGAAAATATCTACTTATGAAGAACCCTGAATCAATTTTATCCGGTTATTATTGGGCTTTCTTTCACTTAGAATGTTATCCTCGGGTACGAACGTCGTCGGCTTTGTCGGTGAGTATGCATGTCCAGAAGTAGATGCCTTCGAGAGAAGTCATCCAAAGCACGACTATTTTCATAGTTCTCGGGGCGAACGCTGTTTTCTTCCGGGAATCGTCTAGGTTATGAGTTGTCATTTATCGTTCGTGTGCACAATCGAGGAATAATGACTGACTGGCACGAACTGACTGGGTTTACTAGTCAATTTATGTGCACTACACAAACCCGTATACACTTAGAGAACGACGTTCTTTAGAGTTATGAGTTAGAGTCTTTAGAGTTGTAAAATTTCTCGTATTCTGAATTTGTTTGACAATGAACGGATAATAAATGAACTAAAAAGTCGAAGTAAAAAATTTCACTTCAGCGTTGATAAAAAAGAAAATATGTAGGTCTGAGACGATAGACAGTTTTAGAATTGGATTAACACCGCTTTCTTTCGCCGTCGTTCATAACGGTTTTCTAAAAAGAAACTTATTTCTCTGCTAAACTATTCAGACTAAGTAGGCTAAGTAAATGTAAAAAGTTTTACTTACTATCAATATGGCTCTGCTTACATTTATGTATACGACTTTATTGTTATTGATTCGATAGAAACAGGTTGGAATTATCCGGTGTTTAGTTCTTTTATTGTTTCACCCGCAGTTGTCACTATTTTTCAGATTTGACTAAACTATGCTGTACTCGTAAGTTTGGACCACCATCAAAATTCATGCACTAAGAAAACTCACCATGCTTCAGTAGTAGTTCTAATGGCGGTGCGGGAAAATCAATTCGAAATCTTCGACAGCCAAACAGCTGACCACTGGTTTTCCTTCTGCTCATGGAAAGAGAAGAAAAAAAAAGAGAAAATAGGACCAAAAGCATCAGATCATTGTTCATCATTAGTTCTTTTCTTAGAATTCGTTGGTGATTGCAAATATATTGGTTTTTGTCAATGAGAGCGCGTGCTGCTAATATTACGGGATAGAACGAATTCATTCCAATTAAAAATAATTATTTCTCACCAAGTTCATTATTTCTTGACTGCTCGTCACGACCCAAAAAATCCGAGATTTTGATTATCAATATCTACGCCTGTGTTAGTAACCTTGCCGCAGTACCACGGCGACATTTCTTTCTTTCTTTTCTCTCTTTTTTTGCAAAAAAGTCAAATATGGTTGTATTGGTTGCTGGTGGCGCAATGGTTAGTGGTGGAGTCCGCCGAGAAGCAAGGTGCCTGTTCGAACTCTCCCCGAACTACTTCACCAACCCACATAGGAACGCCTTATCCCGGCTATTTCCAAAATTGCAAAAAGAACGGACTCTACCAGAATTAGAATCGACATTAATAGACAAGGCGAAATCCTCAAGCAGCATCCGAAACAACACGCGAAATGTTTGAAGGCCATTGTAGATGATGAATGCGAGGAAAACAATCGAATGCAAGAAGTAATGGGATCCGCACTGTGATTATGAATAGTGTAAAATATAATAAATAAGAAAAGCGAAGGCATTCAATGTGGATCAATCCGCCAGGAATGTTTTTGGACTTCATTGAGTATCAGAGAGTTGAATGAATATATTTTTGGTCTATATGAACTGTAACTCCAACCAATCCTCGCAACTGTTTATCGCCTCTCGTGACTGGCAGGTGTTCCTGGGTGTCGGACTGCGATGTACAGCGGGGTATTCCTACCTCCAGCAGAGTCTCCTCCAGAAGTTAAGAAGAAGTCTGGCGTTTCTATCACGAAGTGTGGCTAAGAGTAAACCAATACCAGGATCCGCCACCGTTCTGGTATCAAAGTCGCATGGTGGCAAATCCCTCTCTAATCCACAAGGGCTGCGACTGCCCGTGGTGGTGAAGACCTGGGGCAGACTTTGGCCAAGCTGACCTCGGGATTCCAAAGAACCACAATGGCTTAACCGGTAAAACTGCGAAAAATGGAGGTTATGCTGGGGGACACACTGGTGAGGACGGGACTTTCAAATATTCAAATAATTAAGCAATAAATTCTGCATTATCATCCTCATCTTTGCTCATTGAAGGAAAACAGCGTACTTAATTCTACCATTTTCATTTCCGCTCCTATGATTTGAAAGCAGTAAAGCCTTCTACAGAATTTTCAGAAAAGTTGCTTCATAGTTCCCCTATAAAGCCAGTTACTAGTAGCCGCGAATGCGGTAGCGCTTTTTCAATTTTCACCAAAGAAAAAAAATTCAGTTGGAATTCTTCAGCACTGTGGAGTTTTATGCATGAAATGTATAAAAAATTGTATAAACCATACAATTTCAAATCACTTGCTTTTCTTAGGAAAACAAGTAAGCAAGTAGTTGAGAAAAAAGTTCCGCCTGTCTCTCAGCTATTTCTATCGATCTTTTTGCCACAGCAATCACCGTCAGCGGGGTTGATCTGGGGAGCGCAAATTGGCATAGAACCCAGTTAAGCTACGGCTGTATTTTGAAATCACAATGTTTAACGTTTTGTTTCTGCCTTCTATAATTTTTATGGCAGGTTACTAAGCGAAATACAACCACAACGTTGCTGAGATATTTGCAAAACTCTGGACCGCAGGTGTCTATGGTGGGGAACGAACCAAACGAAGAACACGCATGGTGCGGTGGTGAACGCGTTACTCCCAGGAAAGGACAATAGCGCGTTCGTTCCCCACCGCAGACACCTGCGGTCCAGAGTTTTGCAAATATCTCAGCAACGTTGTGGTTGTATTTCGATTAGTAACCTGCCGTGAAAATTATAGAAGGCAGAAAACAAAACGTTAAACATTGAGAAAAAAGTGTAAATTAGACACACAGCTAAATGGGGAATGAGGTTTAAAAAAAGTAAAAAATGGTAATGTGTTAAAGAACTATTAAGAACTTTGGCCAGCTGATCTCTGGATTCCAAAGAACCACGATGGTTTAACCAGCAAATCTCCTAAGAATGGAGAATGTGCTGGGGCACGCACAACCAGTGAGGACGTGCCATTCAGGTGTCAAGTGTGTTAGGCTCCAACCAATGTATTAAATCAGTGCTTTTCCTTCACAAGTCTGGCACCAAGTTGCCAACATCGATGGAGTGAAGAACTTGATTAGCGCGGTAAACGGGTTTGACGTAGCTAACAAATGGGTATTGAAAGCACCTCTAAGCACTTTTCTACATGCTTCTTTTGCTAACTATACTACTGTGAAATGTCAATGAATAATCAGGAATGGTTCTCATATCTTAAGCAATCGCTCCAACACGAGACTTTATCACCTAGGCTGAGACGCGGTCTGACATATCCATCCAGAAAATCACCTATAGGTAATGTATGCTAATAGTCGCTGGCATCCTGAAGGACAATTTTTCCTAGTGAAGGGAAGATCTGATATCTACTAGTAGTGACATCCGAGAGTGGTTCACTCGGGTGTGGAAAAACTTTTCTACTGTCCATCTTTTGTAATAAAAAATAAGACTTGAAACAAAAACAATATTTCGAAATAATAATAAAATGATGGCTAACACGTTCCACATCAATGCGCTTAATTCGTCTGAAGTAGACATGAATGCTTAACTCATCACATTAATAAAAATCTTTGATAAATTGATATAACAATTCACATGAAATCTGATTCGGACCCTAACCAGAAATCCCATCCAAAAACTGATCTGCTTTTTGGATGTTTCGGGGTTGGAATGATTTTCATGAGCAATTTTTGCTGGTTCATGACAACGCTTCAACTAAACTCGGTTTTGCTCAGTTAAAAATTGCTAGGTTACACATTAGTAAGATTCTATATAGACCATTATCCGACATTCTCTCACCTACCAATCGTTTTTAACAGTGCCTAGATTGCCTCTATGTCCTCCGATCTAAAGAGAATTTTCCGAATCAAATTCCTACCCACGCAGCCAACCAGCTGTACAATTCTATTGTTTTCTATTCAATTCAAAGCTATGAATTTGCCTCAAAGTGCGATTTCCATTAGAATAATAGAAATCCTATCTAGATAACTTCTGCTGTGGTGAGGTTTATTTCGTCGTTTCATGCTTCTGAAAAATTCGCTTTTTATTCCGAAAAAAGAAATAATTCTCCGTGTTGTCTTTAAAAATATCTTTTCGTTTTATAATCGTTTGGGTCCATTATTTTAAATTTTAAAATTATTAATTTTAATTTATTTTAACTTTAACTTAAATTATAAAAAATTAAATTAAATTTAAATTTAAGTGAATAAAAACTTTCTAATTAAATATGAATGAAAAGTTCAATATTAAACTGCTTCCAAGCGTGGTCATATAATTTCAGTTTAGAAACGGCTCATGAAGGAGAGTTCGCTGTGTTGTGTTCAAAATTTCCTTTTCCATTCTCCTACTATCCTTCCACCGTTATTCTTTTCTAGAACATTTTAACTCACCGTGATATCATAAAAGGATAAAAGGATAAAGCTCTCGGCGTCGATCAATCGCTGAGGGATGCGCCATGCATTCGACTTCATTAAGCATCGTTTGAAGGTGAATGAATGCATATCCGGCTTTTACAATGACTCGGAGTGGCCTACCGATGTATCGAGCCAGTGCTGCTATCCTCCCAGACAAGTCTGGTACCAATTTGCCTACCCCGGAGGGATGGAAGGCTTGATGGGCCGATTCGACGTGTGTGTTGTAGGGCGCTTCCGATTACTGCGCCACATGCGCCCTTTATGATATCATAATATGTTTAAAATACGTACATATTTTTAAGAATTACTGTTTTTGATAAGAATAGGTTCGGCGTTCAGTGTTCAACATAGTGTTTATTTCTGATCACCGGCTCATCATCTACTTCCTTGTGCACCATCTTTTTACAAAAATCGCTTAGGATTTGGTTTCTTCATCTCCTTTTCTAAAGACGATCGTATTCATGCATGATGTTGAACAGTAGGTTTGCCAATATCAGTAGGCATTTTGACTCTAACCTCATTACTTATCAGCACCCGTCAGTGCTGTCTCTCAATTTATGCATTGTTCACAGCGATTCAGTTTTCGTATAATCTGCAAGAAGAAACTCGATAGCCACGCATGGTTGATGGGGGTGAAGTTTATTGTAGCAAAATGAAAGCCAAATTTTGAGAAAGTGTGAAACGGAAATATTTTCAATATTCTGCTGTTATGCGCATGAGGTAGCATTGCTACCATCGCCAGTGCTCATCTAGGTGAAGAATACCTTAGAGATATCGCTGAACTGAACCCATCAACTCATTCAAAAAATACTTTTTTTAGACATATCGGAACTTTCCGTTTAAACGAAATACAACCACAACGTTGCCGAGATATTTGCAAAACTCTGGACCGCAGGTGTCTATGGTGGGGAACGAACGCGCTATTGTCCTTTCCGGGGAGTAACGCGTTCACCACCACACCATGCGGGTCCTTTGTTTCGCCTGTCTCTCAGCTATTTCTATAGATCTTTGCCACAGCAATCACCCGTCAGCGGGATTGATCTGGGGCGCCTAAATCGGCATAGAACCCAGTTAAGCTGCGGCTGTAGTTGAAATCACAATGCTATACCTTTTTATTTTATTTTATTTAAAATAAAAAGGTATAACTTTGTGATTTCCGTTTAAATTCTACTTTCCAGAGCTAGATGATACAGAAGCTTCATATTCTTGCCTGAAATTTGTAGATAATAACAATCGTTTCTAGCTTTCAGAACTTAGTCGATGATCCCTCACGTCAATGGTGGGTCTCCGATGGGCGATTCAGTCTCATTCGACCGTTCTATGGACTTCGTATCGCACCGATTCTTCCAGAAGATTCCGGAGTTTATCGTTGCCGCCTAGAGACGGATCCTATCTTCCAGCTCACCATGTCTACAGCTTATGTCGAGTTGTCTGTAATGGGTAAGTTTTACTGCTGTACTCATTATCTTCGCAAATAAGTTTCCAGTGAAACCAAATCGTTTTAAGGAAGAGGCTCTTTCCACACTTCAATAGAACTGAAAAACATATTTGCAAGAATTTTTCAATGAAATACGAAAACAACAAAGAGGCAGTGACACCATGAACTACTCGACGCGCAGCTTCTTCTTGAGTTTCCGTCATATTGTCGTCGGTTATACAATGAATTATTATGTTTTCCTTGGATTCTGTCGTTAGGTAACTAATGGGATCGACTCGAACTCGTTACTTTGTCCTTGACGTGACAGTGGCTTATGTCAGTGTAGTGAGGCAGAAAGCAGAGGTTGTGAACTATTTCAGTGAATGAAGCAAGAGAGGAAAGTTCGTCATCAACACTAGCAGATGTCTAATTAGTAGAAATGCTTGTACAGTACGTGTTGGCAATAAGTGTAGCCTGACGTGTACTAAAATCTCTAGGCCATTAAAATCTGTAAGAAATTTGCCTCTTAATAGACAGCTTTTTATCTATAAACACTTGTTAGACGTAATTGTAACTCGGACTCGCCAGACTAAGAAAACGATTTCGATGAAGAAATGAAGATGAAGAAATTAGATAGAAAGCAGAGTGCTTTTCCAACCTAAACATCCCCAGAACCTGTCATGGTCATGTGTTCACGGTCTATTGCGCAATCCCGTGGGTGAATTCGATTGCCTTTCAGCTTAGATGCCAGTGTCAGTCGTGTCAGGCCTCCGACCTTATCTGCGATGAATTCGTCAATTAATCCCCGCAAGCACTTTCCGGGCATAGCACGCTGTATCTCGTGTCTCCACGGCTCATTGAATCGCAATCGAGTGTCATATTTTATGTAGGGGAGCGTACAAAAGTGTTCTCAAAATTTCTTCCTCGTTCTTTCTTCGGGAGTTGATCAAAGCATAATTTGACCCACGTAACACTTGTATTTTGAATAGCACAATTTAAATGACGGTTAATTGCGATGCGCTTTAAAGCAGAAGCTAATTCTGTATTGCTTCAAATGTAATTTTGAAGAGATTAGCATCAGAAAATAACTACCATGGCTTAAACGAGGCCCTAGCTAGTCTCGCTATGTTCTCAACGTTTTTGAATATTTGTGGTATCGCGCACAAGTATGGGAAATGCAAGAAACTTTCCAAGCATTGTCAAGCCATTGTTTCCGTCATTCTTTGCATAATTTCAAGGTATGTCTACCACCAATTCTTGCATAACATGAGCAGTTCCAGTTGATTTTAAGTAATATGATCATCCAGAACTGCAGAAGAATTTCCAATCCGAGAAAGCTTTCTTTGCTAAACTAAGTAGTTCGCTCACAAACTGCTTTCCGTTGCCTCGTATATTCCACAGAATCTGTTAAAAATTAATGCAATTCTGTCAATTACTGGTGAACAACTGATAGAATAACGAGTTAAACGCCGGATAATAGCCTTTACTACTCAGAAAATTTCACAGCCCGTAATGAAGCATGCAAGATACTACTGACGACTACATTCTAGTTTCACGTAAAAAGTGAAGTGGTGTGGTTAGATTTCTGAAGAACCCATCTTTCAACATAATTTCTAAATCGCCATAGCGACATGTTCGCTGACATTACAGCTTGTTGGGTAGAATGGTGAAAGAGTGTGCAACAACTTTTCCATCACCGATAGTTACCTACTAACCTTTGACGAATTATTCTCTTCTTGGTAAGTGCAAAACACTCTCTAGATAACTGTTATACGCGCGTCAAGTGACTACCGTATTCCACACCCTAATTCATAGCTTTATCTTAAACTGTTCTAAAAACAGAGTCAAGTAGTACCTTCAAAAGTAATGGGTTGCGATTCTGCTGTTTATTAACTACTATCATTTCTGGAAGTTTACTAGAGCCAGGCAGCAGAAAACTCTGGTGATTTGTTCGGAAGCAAAAAGCAAATAATTATTACCGCAAGTGTTTTCATTACTGCTTTGCGGAGATTTGGTCCGAATGGATGAAAACGCGTTTGGGAATTGTTGTGGAACTTAGTTATTCATGCAGAAACCTTCTCATTATGTCCTTCAAACCATTAGCGCATTTTCTCCAATCTCTCCTCCAATCCATCCCACTTTGGAAGGAACCGTTGAAGTCACGGTTAGCACTGAATAAACAAACAATTATGGAATAAGGTTGATTTGCTAACAAAATCAAAACCACATGTACTAAAACTTGAACAGTTTTTCCTTTAATTTCTTTCTCAAGTAGTTTGTTATTTTTCCGTGTCTAGAATGATTTCAATGTTCTAGTCTTTCTTTCTTAAGATTGAGTCGAAATTTTGAATGTAAAGCCTTAACGAACATAAGCAGGAAGGCTAGTAACTTCCGAAAAAACACAAAAAGAAACCTAATTAGCATAAAAATCTTATCACGCCTGAAGAAGACACAATCTGCTGTGGAGACCTGTAAAGAGAAAAAATTAAGTCTGCTAAATCAGAGCGATTTCATTGAACCCTTCTCGAATTTAGTCATTGTTTTGCCGGTTATTTCTTAAAGATTTTAACTCTTATGAACAGAAAAATCGTTAGAGTTTACATATATAAATTCTTTCACACAAGACATACTTTAGGACAGTTTTTATTTTAACTTTTCCATCCCTAGTCTAGACGTTATGGCTCATGAAATAAATTCATGCTGTCGCGCATCCTACATCCATCCTGATCATATGAAATAATCTAAACCGAAATCGTTTTCCCGACGAATTCATATAGTCATAAGGTGGACTAGATGGAGAGTAATTTCCAGTACCGACTTTCTGTTAACCTCGGCAATGATGAAATAGTTCACTATACCCTTCTTAGGTAAACACGACGCGTGACTTTATTCTTTATTAACTCCGTTCCTGGCTCACCAAGGCTCTCATCTCTTAGAGGTCGGGAAATTGGTACCAGACTTGTCTGGGAAAATTCACTTTCTGCACTTTGAGTGCGAAAGCTTCAACTCGGCTATCGCAGGAGTCCAGGGTGAATCAACTTCGGCTTCTTCCTGAAGATGGTGAAATCCGCCAAGACCTCAGCATTACGTTCAATAAAGAATAAAATAACATTTCGTGTTTGCTCAACAACAATTAGTGGATTAAATAGACAATTGGTACTGAGTCAGACTTAAGTGGCACACTATAAATGTCGTATTGAAGCGTCTAATTGTCGTCGGAGGTTCGACGTTCACAATTGAATTGACCAGGGACCTCTCTTGACCGACGGGACACCACACAATGACATCTGCGTGATGTGCCCACAAGGCCTTTAAGGGGCTGATGTGTGGGAATGTAACGGTTTCAGAAATCACAGTTGAAGACCTCCATCCAATCCTAATGAAACTGAAAAGGACTTTTTTCAAAGACAAGGACAGAAGTCAAATATCTTCGAGAAAAGGCTTACATACTTCGGTAGTAGAAAAGAGTTTTATTGTTTAGGCATTTATTAAGTGTTTAGTGTAGCGAACTTTGAAAAAATGATCTCTTTTCCATTTCTAAATGCTCTTGAACTTATCAAATATGTTACGATGTAGAAAATTGCTTTCTGCAATAATTGGAAAAAATTCTAGCTTTAAAAGTAAACGACGATGAGTGAAATAGAAAAGTATAGAATCCGGATGCTCATCTATTATCAGTGTTCGGCCAGTGACGACAGAATTTGAGTCGTCGCAATCAACATCTCACCTTAGAGTTAGGCGAATGTACCAAGCACGACAACACCATTTTCTCTGGCTTTGAAGGCCCATCTCCTGTGTTACATGGGACACGAAACTCATGAAAATCAAAATCGATGCCAGCAGCCCTTTGTGAGTAGAAATGAGCTGAAGAACGAGGTAGAAATTTAAATTTGCTTAAGCCACCACTACTGTGCAGTTGAGGCTTGCATACGTCAGATATTGTAGAACTGTGGCTAATTGAATTCCATACCAGTTCATTGAATCGAACCCAACTGCTTAGGCACCACTACGCCTGCCAGCAGCTGCTGGTATGCTTGTAAGTGAGAATTTTCCTGAAATAACTGTTGACAGGAAACTAGAGTTGGTTGTTCTAACAGACCAGCAGTTTTTCGCGAGGAAGCTGGGAGGAACGATTAAGCTAGTTGATAGGATACTTATACGCCCATGCCATAATGTTTATGTGGATTGCTGGTGAAAGTCAATCCTATAGTGTATCCGAAATGACTGTCGAAAAACAAGCACTCACGTTAGTCTCTGCGGCTAGGCACTGCTGTGGAAGAGAATTATTCAAGGCGAGCTTAACCCTATTATTGACACGATAATACTCTACCGTTCATTAGTAGCCAAGGAATATCGGCTAGGAAATAGTTAAACGCGATGATCCAAGTGCCATACGCCACCTTAATTTCACTTTTTTCAGGACAAGAAAAATTTCCCTTGGAGAGAGCACTTCGCCAATTTGAAGTGTTTATATTGGGACTGACAAAAATGATGATTATACCGTAGTCTAAAACATTTTCATGAAGAAACTTTGAGCAATAAGAAAAGGGAAATACACGAACGTACACCATTAATTTCCCTTACGTCCAAAACAAAACAACTCGGTAAGATCTAATAAAGCTGCCAAATTTATGATCCGCATTACAATGAAGTGGAAAAGATAAGTAAGTTCTATTAAGCGTTTATGAACAACTTTAGCAGGCTTTCGCAGAGAAAGGGCACTCCAAGGACATTGTTTGTCGGAGCAATGGAATAACCTATAAAGCCACTGAGCCACTAAGCTGCCACTGCTGCAGACAAAATACGACTAGGGTAAATCGAAGCTATGAAATTCCAGCCAACTTTCTAAAGAACAAATTACTGCTTATGAGTATTAGAGCTTGATAATGAATGTATACGAATTTGGAAGCGATTTTATGGTGGTTTCATTTCATAAGAAAAAAGCATCTGCCAAACAAAATAGACTCGCTTGTAAGAAGAAAAAAGAGCTTTCACAATGAGATGGATTAGTCGTCAAATACGTTCCATTAATGCGGCGTGGAAACTCGTTACTAGTCTGGAAAAGAATCTAAATAGAGAATAAAACGTCGAATTTATTGAACAATCGGTGTTTTGCCTGCAGTTCGTCCAGTGGCTCCTTCAACTCCTGCGGTGAAGGCGTTCTCAAACCATTCCTTAACACTCGCCTGGAAGCACCACACTGCTAGGGCTCATCGCCCGATCTCTCGTTACTCTGTGCTAGTTCGGTCAGTTTATTCAACATTTTCCTATCAGTTCAACTGTTCCACTAAATTTTTGCTTAATGAACCAATCAATATTTCTCTAGTGCAGTTCTGAAACCGTGGAAATTCACATCTTCTAAAATTATTCAACAACTAAGATGATGCTGAGATATTTGCAAAAAACTCCGGACCGCAGGTGTCTGCGGTGGGGAACGAACGCGCTATTGACCTTTCCGAGGAGTAACGCCGACCCGCATGGTGTGGTAGTGAGCGCGTTACTCCCCGGAAAGGACAATAACGCGTTCGTTCCCCACCGCAGACACCTGCGGTCCGGAGTTTTTTGCAAATATCTCAGCATCATCTTAGTTGTATTTCACATGATACCCTGCCGTTAGGCAGTAAATAAAATGGTTAAGATTATTCGATAACTGTTATTATATAAATCCCACAACGAACAACTGGGTTATACAGAATGTCATTGACTGCTTAGCTTAAAAAATGTTCTGAGTACTGTTTGTCTGCGACTTTTTGATGTGAGTTTTGCACAAGAAGTAGAACGAAGAAGGAATAGAAGAAAGTTTGGAATACGATAACGTCGTAATCGGTAACATGAGTTGCTACGATAGGGTTTTTCTATAACCCCACAAAACCTCAGCTGCAGTTTCGATGGATTCATTGACAGGTTTACGAAATATGGTACCATCCGTCCCGTCCATCAGTTGCTAATCTCGAAAGTTTTCTCCGTATGATGAATGCTGTTTAGTTCGGTAGACGACGATTCACGATTTGTGATTCCGGCGCCGTCGAACGCTACTACCGTCATTATCGATAACCTCACACCGAACACACTCTACGTATTCGCCGTTCGCGCTGAAAACGCTGCCGGACTCAGTCCTTTCGGACCAGAAACTCGTTTTCGGACTCTCGGCGAAGGTAACGCTTTACTATCGGCTACGATGCTCTAATTAACTCAGGGAAAGAGCTATAAATTTGAATTAAATTTGAAAACAAAGGAAAACCTTTAAGTGGCTTTGCAACAAATCTTGAACAAAACATAAGTAAGCCTTGACCTAATTCGAGAACATCCGTGATTACACATTTGTAGTTAAATAGCAAATCTTCATATTTTTTTTTGTTATAGTGTTGCAATGTTTCACTGATTATCGCAGTTCTATCTTTCGTTTTCCCTTATGGAACCATCAGCAACAATTAAGTTTGCGGTTTAAGTGAAATGAAAAGGAAAGTGAGATCATGGAGAGAACTATGAAGCAGTTAAGAATGGGGTACTGCATGCTATTAGAAATAAGTGAGAATGAGAAGGAGAACGAAAAAAAGAGATTTAAGATAACTTATGGAATAGATGAGGGTACAGGCGGAAGAATAGAGAGAACGAAGAAAAGAGAATGGTAACAATTTTACTTACTTCATACTTGAACGGCCCGTCATCACTCACGGTTATTTTGGAGAAATAGGCTTATCCTATAGGCGAGATAAGGATCATCTACTAGCTACAGTAAACTTTGTACGAGGATGGAATCATTGCAAGTGAGAAGAGATATCAATAAAATGAAATGACTATAACTAACTATACGCGGTGATGAAGACATTGTTAGCTCAGTCAGAGGATGAACTGTGCTACATTCAGCTCCTAAGTCACCTCCAGTGGTGTCAGAAGTGCGGAACACCACCGACGGCTGCGTCTTGATAGCCATCGAACCACCACCCGACGTGCATGATAACGTGACCGGATACCATCTACTGATGCACAAACTCGGTGACGACTCCTCACGAAAAGAATTGTGAGTATCGCATAATTGTTTTATTCCTTCCAGTTCGTCCTCTTTTTGTCTTACTACTTTACTGCTTTATCATCTTCTGTAAGCCTGTTGTTTTCTTACGTTCCCTCATGTAAGGCCTCTCAAAGCGGTAACGGAATACTACCTGAGTTCTTTTCTCAGCGATGCGTTCAGATTTGTCAAGTTATTGTCTAATCACTTAGATTTGAGTGACGATTTCTTCAATTAAAAAGCCCCCTTTTTTTAAAATGACATTAATGACATTAAAGTTCTAGCTTCTGTTCATAAGTTTCCCACTGAGACTTTTCGCGCTCCTATTTATAAAATCCGACTTCTCTCACTGCCACTCCCACTGCCACGATACGCAAGGACTTTTTGAATTCGTTTCCAATATCAGTTTCGTTTGAATTATTCTCATCATTTTGCTTTTTTTAACTATAAAAGGGCAAAATTACTACGAAAGCGGGTCCGATATCGGAAAAATGTTAAAAGATAAAGTGGCCACTACATTAAAAGCAATTTGCTTCTAGGGTGGGATCGGGGTGAGGTATTAGAAAAGGTAAATCAACAACTGTTCTTTTTATGATTAGAGTCAGTTTTACACCTTATAACATCGTAGACGTTAGATCGCTTATATTTTTCATCATTTTGTATTGGAAGAACTTGTTTTTTCATATTCCTGATCTATCATGCATGACGTAAAGTCTTCTTACTTACTCTGTTCAGCATTTCTGCAAATACGACCGGTCCGTACAGCGTGTGCCAACTTCAACCTCGCTCAAGTTACGTGCTTTCTGTTGAAGCTGTTAACGAATTCGGCAAATCACCACCGGTACGACAGATTTTTCGGACTGAGGAAAGCGGTAAGAAATCTTACTTTTTGCCTTTTTGAAGTCATTTGTTGGTTTTTTCGCTTCATGTCTTCAACCTTGGTGATTTCCTTGCATCAATCAATGGAAAGGTGTTAGTTGGAATAAAGTGCTAGCGCGATCCATACTGATTGACACTTTATTATAAGGGCACTTTTGCTTTTAATCCTTGTAATGTGCTTTTTCCAGAATTGAATCAATCGTTTTTTCGTTTTCACACTTTCTCTAAGTGTTAATTTTCTTTAAATACCGTAGTTCCGACCAGGTTGCTTTGAGCAGTATTCTCTTAACCCATGAAGCTGCTGCAAACTGAAGCTATTTTCACGAGGGAAATGAATAAGACTAGTGATTGTAGAGCGAAAACAAAGCTGTTGAACTTCCAGCGCCATCAGGTATTCCGACGGCCATCTCGTTGTCTCCTGCTGTTGGTGTACCGACGATTACTGTACATTGGCAAAAACCGAGCAATTTCGTCGGCCAAATCACTCACTACAATCTCTATTACAAGGTTTCATACACTATCGATTGCTTCACAAAAGCAATATCGTTGTGAGCTGTAAAAAAGGCAGTTACATAAAAAATACAGGAGATTATGAGAGAAGAGATGAATCGAAAATCGTTCCGTTTTCTTATATTGACTTATAAAAGAACGAGAATGCAGAGATGAGAGAAAAAGCAGGCTCTACTGCGTTAATGGAAACATTTGTTTAGTAGGAGCTTCCATAGAAAATAGATAGATGAGACTGACGATAAGGTATAAATAACACTGACTAAATTTGTGCAATTATTTATTTTAAATTTGGAGGTTTTACGAAAATTTTTGTAAAAGTACACTCTAAAACTCGTAGTTCGCATGTGCTAAAGTTGTTCTGATTGCTTGCTTTATAATTTTGAACTTCATTTATTTCTTATATCTCATCATTCCGACAAACCTTATCTTCCTCACCAATGTTCAAGTGTTCTTTTATTCGTCTTTCTCATCATCCACCATGGATTCAACGTACATGAAAACTGTTTTGTTGCAGGTGCATGGCCATACGAAGTGGAAAGTTTCTTACCTGACTGTCACCCAAACCCAACAATCTCTTTTTAGATTCCAGCTTACTGGATTAGGTGAGAAAAAAGAGACGGTGGAGAGAGAAAGATGGGTGAAGAAAAGTAGAGGTAGAAAGAAAAGGAGCGTAGGAATGAGCAAGAGAGAAGGAGCAACATGAATGGGACCCAATTCCTCTTTTCGTTGCCCATTCGTCCGTTACTCGTATGCGATACACCCACCCTTATGAAGACTCTTCGTGACCACAAGGAAATCTTGCCCACCAAGAACTATTTTCTGTCTTCAATGGTTTTAAACGACTTCGTTCTTTTTTGATTTCCGTGTCAAGATATCACCAACCTTAATCAACCTGAGTTCGTGTGTACTGCAGTACTAATTTGCTATGATATGTTTCCCAATACAAAACCATCAGAACGCTTCGGTTATTTCGAAACAAGTTGGTCTGTTCCTGGTGGAGAACAATTCGTTGAGGACTTTAAAAAAATATTCGAAGTTTTGACGTCTTTTTCGTCCATTATGGGATTCAATGGACCCTAAACTTTTCATCATAGACGAAGATTAAGGATTTTTTAGAAGTTACCATTAAAACTTACTTGATATTTGATACTTGAATGGCTCTTCCTCACTGGTTGTGCGGGTCCCAGCATAATCTCTATTTTTCGGTGATTTGTTGGTTAAGCCATTGTGGTTCCCTGGTGTCTCGAGGCCAGCCTGGCCAAAGTCTGCCCCAGGTCTTCACCACCATGGGCAGTCGCAGCCCTTGTGGATTAGAGGAAGATCTACCACCATGTGACTTTGATACCAGGACGGTGGCGGTTCCTGGTATTGGTTAACTCTTAGCTAGGTTTCCTGATGGAAACGCCGGACTCCTTCTCAACTTGGAAGACCCCGCAAGGGGATGAATCCATCGCTGTACATCGCAGTCCGACATCCAGGAACAGCTCCCAGCTACGATGAGGCGGTAAACCGTTTGGAGGTTGCCATTAATAATAGTGGATTAATCCCCTTTATGATGATTTAAATAGAAAACAGTAAATGACAAAATCGGATTAGTCTTCAGTTGGATTTCGAGTACAATTTCGTTTCTTTGCGAATGTTTTTCGAAGATCCAAAACTTTCTCTGCTCGAACGCAATTATTTGGCAACAAATTTAATGTTTTATGAAGACCAGCTTCCGACGACCGATTAGCTGGCCTCATAAAAAAGTTGAAAGATCGTCCAGGATGGAAACAAGGGTGCGACGTTATAATTGTGTCGCCGCCGAAACAACAATTATGCAAAGTGATGAATTTCTCATCAACATGGTGCGTGCTTAAAACATTCCGCTCTGCAATAGGGGTCAAAAAATTGGTCGTATAATATTAATAGTTTTACCCTTTTTTGCCTACTACAATTTTCATGGCAGGTACCAAGCGAAATGCAACCACAACGTTGCTGAGATATTTGCAAAACTCTGGACCGCAGGTGTCTATGGTGGGGAACGAACGCGGTATTGTCCTTTCCGGGGAGTAACGCGTTCGCCACCACGGGTGATTGTTGATGGCGCTGATCGATAGAACTAGCTGAGAAACAGGCGAAACGAAGAGCCCGCATGGTGTGGTGGTGAACGCGTTACTCCCCGGAAATGACAATAACACGTTCGTTCCCCACCACAGGCACCTGCGGTCCAGAGTTTTGCGAATATCTGAGTATTATAGTAGTTATATTTTGCGAAAAGCCTGCCGTTAAAAGAAATAGGCAGTAAATAAAAAGGTTAATATTAATAGTATTCTACATGAACCAGTAGTAGTATCAGTGGTGATAAGAACAACGTTGGCGACGTCTCACCGACCCACAGAGATGAAAAACTAGTGTATGTTAAACTTCAAAGCGATGCTGGTGGTGAGAATTTGAAAGCTGTCACCAGGGCGAAATGACCTTCTTCACGAACCATCGAAGATGCGTCTAGCGTGATCGGTATGTATATTTTTCTCGCATTAGTCGCATGGTGGCAAATCTCCCTCTGATTCACAAGGGCAGCGACTGCCTGTGGTGGTGACGACTTGGGTCAGACTTTGCTCAGGCTGACCTCGGAATTCCAAGGAGCCAAAACGGCTAAACCAGCAAATCTCCAAAAAATGGAGATTATGCTAGGGCCCGCACAACCAGTGAGGACGAGCTGTTGAAGTTTCCAAGCAAGTTAGCAGCATGTCATAGGAAACCTCAAAGAGTATTTAGATGCTTCCTGCAAGTTTTCTAAAAAAAGAGTGATTATGCAGATAATCCACAAATGCTAACTCCAGTTTCGCACTGACTCGTAGAGGATACAAAACAGCTCAATCGCCGTGGAATCTGCCTACGTCCATAGGTCATCGAAATTACTAATAACAACAGCAATAAGTATATTCAGTTCAACAACAGTATGCAACAGTTTTTATAATTTATTAGGAAAATTTTGAATAGATATGACAAAGTCGATGATACTCAGTGGTGTTACATAGTTTATAGAAATCGAAAACTTGTGAGCGACCTATATCCATGTTTCGTACAGTGGCTATCATTCGTCTAGAAATGAGATGGCGGGGGTTTTCGGATCCATACAACTACTTTTTATTCGTTCTATATTCGTCACTGATATCAAATGATTATCTGATCAACCTGTAGTCGTGCTTTTTTCAGCGCCACTAACAAAGTATCAAATTCGACTGTCGGCATCAAACAGGAAGAGAGAAGGCCATCGAAGTGCCGAGCACATTGTCGTGACCGATGTGATCGGTAAGTAGAATAGTTGTTCATTTCTTTCATTTTGTAATAACTATCAAGTATTAGCTTATTTAAAGTTTTTTTTACTATTAAGTGCAAGGCAGTTCACCTGTTTCGTAAGTTGAAATCTTGAGTGATTCAAATCGCACTGCGGAGAACTGAATTGAATCCAACCATAGTGATACTGAGACATGAGCAAAACTCGGATGTTAAGTTGAACTTCGAGCCCTCGATTGTCTTTACTAGGAGTTCACGTGCTAATCTCCTTATTAAAGTGTTTCGAGTATTTTCGCGTGAATATCGCGCTATTTAAATTTATGCAGCAATTTGGCTCATATATAGCTCATGTGACAGCATACGCGGGAGACATTTAGAGTTACATATGGCTCACACAATGTGAGAGAGAAAAACATAAAACCGCTTCGGTGTTATGCTTTCGGGTACCACTCGCCATAGGAATTTCCTAAGCAATTCCTTATTTAAGGAATCAAGTATAAGGTTTGCTGCATGAATTGAAGAAATACCACGCAATTTCAGTAAGTACGAAAAGTGATAAATTTGACTTTGCTTATATATGCGAACGAGTTTTAGCACCCGATGCAGCCGAGATTGGTGTGTTGACGTTCGACTGTGTTAACGGTATTGAATTGCAACTTGATGCCGTTTCAAAATCACCTCACACTTGTCATGTGCAAATCAACAACGCCACCAACGCGTTACAGTTCAACATTACCGCCCACAAGGTACGAGCAGTCTCATTTTGTGTTCTGTACGAATAAATCCTAAGACCAACTTTTTTTAAAACTTAGCATTGGTTAATAATTCACTGTTTTGGGTGCACGAACACGAGATTGTCATTACAGCATCTAATTATCCACAATAGCCGAACGGCCGAAATGAGGCGCATCTTACTTAGCTGGGCACCTTCGTAACCTCAGCAGACAAAACTTCATAATTTTTTCACGTGTTAGATGTTTTTATGTGCTAAAATTTATATTTTAAGTTTTCTCTGCTGAGCTCATGGAAATGTTTGGCTGAGTAGTTTGCGTGTCATTTTGACTCTTCTAGGCTCCGAAGAAAGCGGAACCGCAGTAACTTCACCTATAGTGAATGAATAAAAGCTGCAGTAACAATCTGTGCGAGTAGTTTTTTTTACTCTTTCCAGTGTTTATTTTTTTTGAATGTTTACGATTTTCTTGTATAAACCGTCTGAGAACGTTATGCACGTTTTTTTATTTTGAATAATTGCCAGCGAAGTCCTGGAGAATTTTCTTTGGATTCTATATGCTTGATGATGAAATGTCAAGCAAATAAAAAGCACTGCTTATAGTAATTTCGACGACCGACTTTTTATTAACCTCGGCATTGATAAAATACTTCTTGATATTCTTCTTGATCTAACATGGGGTGTTACTTTATTCTTCAAAGCTTCAAAGCTGACGTTTCGGCAGTATCACCTTCGATTTTGATACAAAAGTCACCATCCTCGCAGAGGATGCCAAAACACCAACGTGCAAGCTTCTTGAGGCTTTTTGGATAATTCCCAGAGACTCTAAAATGAATAGCAGAAAGGAATGTCCAGAGATCAGACATGATTTCACCCCGTACCCTCCCATGGACTTTTGGTGTGGGGTGCTGCATTCAACGACCATGTTCGACTCTGATCAGCTGTTGTTAATCAGTGGAAGGCACGTAATAAACGGTAGGTTTTTCGAAAAGCTGTTGATCGTGTGAATGCAATTTAGATTCTCATCTTTCTCTATGTGTTATTGAAGCGTTTGGTTACTAAATTACCTATCAATACATGTTTCCTGCCTCTGAAGAAGGTGATACTACCGGAACGTCAGTTTTAACGGAATAAAGAGTAAAGAAACACCTCACGTTTGCTTAGCAAGAGTATCGTAAAGCACTGCATTCTCAGTGTTTAGACCGCAATTGTCGCTTGCCACTTTCCCTTTAGTTAAAAAAAATGTATCTTTAGGTGTACACGTTCAGAAATGCTCCTCGTTAGAATATTCCTAGAATGTCTCTTTATTTTTTCCTGCTTTTATCTTTAATCAAAATACCGGTAATGTCTGCTTAATGTATTGTCCAATCTTCGATCCACGATCCTCGAGTGATCCTCGAAATTCCATGATATTTCTGCCTTTCAGACATGCTTAAGAAACACCGGTGAATTAAGAGGTTTTCTTCAAGAATTCTGATGAGCTCTTGCCTTTTCTCTCTCACCAATTCTGCCTCACAATAATTTTCTTAACAATAGATCGCTTTGTTCGATGATATAATAAGTGGTTTGTTTTGTAATATATTTTAGTTTTCGTTCGCATTAGTCCTGTCCTCCACTGAAAACTTATGCTTGCCACGCTGTTCTACTTAGTATTCACTTTATATTATATTAAATGCGTGGGAATTTTATGATAAGGCAATAACGGATACTATTTCAGCTAAATGTTATCGGCTTAGCGCTTCATTCTAAGTACAGCGCTAAAGCACGGTGTTCAGCAAGGAGTACGGTGGACAACCAAACAAATTTGTACGGTCCTTGGGGGAACGAGCAACAATTTATCCTCGGCAGTGAGTACGGATTTGTATTGAAAACAATTCAAATTGGTTTTATTATTTATTGTGCGTGTGCTTATCTATTCAAAAAGCATTGCAAACTGTAAGCGATTAGTGGATGCCACGAAACCCTCTCACTGTCGCTCACGGCCGCTCAATGTATCTTACGGTGACATTGCTCGCACTATGACCATTTTAAAAATTTTTCGATGATTATTATATCTCAGTAGGCATCGTAACGCTTTTGATTATCGGCATAGCGAGTTATAAACGTTAGAATAACTAGCAAGGACGATTAGGATGCAAGTGATTTCTAACTTTTTCACTTGTTTACTAGTTCTCTTTTATCAAATTCCATTATAGATCAGTGTTCTTATCAGTCGTCAATCTGCTCGTCGAACAGCAATTGCTTGCCATTACGAAGTGTAAGCGACTGGTTAATAGATTTTATTGCATAAACAATGTGTTTACGAAGGTCACTAAGGAAGCACACCGAAGTATTTCTTGCTTTGGTGTCAAAAATCTGCCACACTTCACGAAGAATCGTCTAACAGTTGTTGAACTTTGTTCAGCATTTTCGTTTACTTTTCACAAGAGCGGCGACAATCGGCTCCAAGTAGGATTTTCAGAATTTTCGTGCTTAATTAGCACTGAGTGACAGAGCCGGCTGTTTACGAACTGCTCGAGAGAGGGAATTTCTTGGATTATTGTAGTATTATGCAAATTACCACTGATATGATTTCCTTACTATTGGATTTAATCCATTATTGCTGTTATTTTATTTATGCCTAGTAATATTCCATGAGGACTGTTAAGGGAAGACTTGGAACGGATCAGATGTTTCTCTCCTCGTAGCTGTTAGACAAGCTCGAAGAATTTCACCGTACTTTAGATACACATGTTTGTGAATCTAATCAAGGAAAAGGCAGATCCTTAGTTGGAGTTTAAGTCCGAAGTGTTTTAAGAATGGGATCAAATTATGACAAAGTAGATTTCTAGTACCATTTAAATTAATAAGCTGAAAATTTAATACCATGACCTTATTATTTCCACCACTTTGTTTTGCACATCATTTACAAGATAAGTAGTCACATAAAGACAGAGGACAAGAGTAATAGAAAAACTAAGCATTGTTCTTGTTTTAGAGTCCGATCCTATTTCGTTTCTCGTCTTGGGTAATCATTTTGGCTCTTGTTCTCTTCATAGTGCTCTGTTTTCTCACAATTTACTACCTTAAAGGGTTCGTACGTTCTTCTTTCTTTGTTCTGCTATCTTAATGATGTTTAACTAAAATTTCTTCTTGTCTACTTCGTTTACAATTTCAGTCCTTGTCTCGAAATCAAGGCTTTCATCAAGAAAAAAGAAAAGTGCGTTTATTTGGAGGAGCTTAGTCCACTCGTTTATGGTAAGTGTTTAGTCGAGATTTTCCACATCTTCATCTATTCTACGTTATTTGTTAATACCGCAATACTATTATGCTATCCAAAGTCACATTTTTTGGTTGTGGTTATAAGGAAAAACAAACCAAACAGGAAAAATAACGCTTACTGGGAAAAGTTACTAAGTTGTTATAGCGTGTACTAGTAATAACAGGTGTAGGTACTGGAATTTATAATTTAAAACAACAGGACTAGATAAGTGGTTGTTTCCTGGGCTTCCGAAATGTGAAGGGAATTTCATTAGACTGTTATTTGATAGGTAAAAGTTTATTTCTAGAGCCATTTTCACGAACTACTGATTTGCACTTTGCAGTAACCAAATAGGAATTTCTCAATTTGAGTTCCTCTAAAGATTTTTATGAAGATTCGACGACCTGTGACGACATCCCTATCGAACTTTTTTACGGGTACTGTGAAGATTTGGCTCGCAATGAAAACGCTAAATTCAAACTTCAGTTTCAAGTAAGTTTTGATTTCTTTAAAAAGATGAAATACCAGTTCACTACTGAAAACTGCTCCAATGACCCATATCTAACACATATTCGCATGCTTGATATCAGTATATGCACGTGCAATGTGAACTGTTCGCCTTGCTTTCAGTGCATATTATTTTGTAGTGTTTATTTTTCCCTAAAAGTTTAAGTACTATCGTTTCTTGAATGTTAGCAGTGATTGTTCGATATTCAGCACAGGCTTTATAGTCCGCAAAACGCTAATTTCTTAACTTAGCTACTTATGAACACTTTTTTCGGTATAACTTGGACGTAGACGCATAATGTTAACGATCGTAATGAAAAAAAATCCTGGGGTGTTCGCTAGTGTTCTGGATCACTCGTATGAGAACACCACCTTCTTCAGTTTCACCAAAATCTTTTATCCAAGGATTCTGTTTTTTCCTTCATCGAAAAGGCGTAAATGTTGGAAAAAGACATTCATTACCAATACCCAAATCTAATTAAAATCGATTTACAATATCCAAAGCTCCAAATTCACTTCTTGTGCTCTTGGGAGCCGGTTTCCTATCAACTCGTCGATTCCAACGGCCAGTCCACTTCCGTAGATGAGCGACAATAGTGACGAAATTAGGGGGATAACGAATGTACCAACATTTATTATGTAGATTAAATGCTCGCTATGAAGTCTGCAATTTAAAGAGCAGCTTGGTCTTTTCTCACACTGACCCGCTATATGCCTTCCATAGGGAAGAGTTGTCCACTTTAATGATGTACTTCTTCTTTTTTTCTTATTAATTTCATTCTAGCAAATCGAACTGATGGCACAATCTAATTGCGCCGAACCAGATGTACTGGAAAAGAATCTAGACAAAAACAGGTACTTCTTTGGAAACGTAAACTTATGTTGAATACTGTAATGAGTTGATTATAAATAAACTACTAACAAAAAAGAAGGAAGCTTAGTAGAATGGGAAGGTTTTCTAATCTAATAAGAGTCTAGTACGATACCTTTTTTGGATTCTTAACCTCTGTATGGGACTCTGTGATATTCTCTACTTTCTCTGTAAGTACGCACGAGGTTGTTACTATAAGCCTTTTATCCACAAAACGTGACGTTTCGGCGGGTTTCGACTTCTTCAAAACCTGGAAATAAATTAACTGCAATCTGTTATTGAAGCGTTTGGCCTAGTAGATTGTATATCAGTATACCCTTCCAGGCTCTGAAGAAGGCGATACTGCCGAAACGTCAGCTAGCGTTGTATTGTATTGTGTTTTTATGGAAGTAAATGTATGCTGTTTAAAAACCTCGCGATTGCTGAACAAGAAAACGACACATTCATATTCCAATGCCGAGGTTAAGAGAAAGTCGATCTTGGGAACTAACTGCAATCTATTCAGCCAAACACCTCCATAACTCTAGCGGAAAAACCATGATACCTAATTTTCAGTCGCATTGGGAATAAAACAGCTGCTGCAAATGAATAACAACAATATTGTGTATGCTTACCAAGAAAATAGCGAATTATTTACCAATGCCGAGATTAACTGAAAGTCGGTCTTTGGAATTGCTCAATGACATCTTTACGAAGATATTTCTATAGTAGTTGTTTAATCGCCAATAAGAAAAGTCGGAAAAAAGGAGCAGATGTTGTTCTTGCAGCGTGGTCTATTCTGATCTAGTTGATTATACTGTTTTTGAAATTTTAAATAGAAACTTTGTCGTAGTATTCATAGTCCTCTGTAGGTACTTGAACATTGGTGCGATAGAGTCGTCTCGAGTTCGCATCAACACGTCGAGCCACGGATCCGACTACATCAATGCCAACTATATAGATGTGAGTCTGTCAGTTTTTTATTTATTCTTTAGCCATTCATATATAATTCCAAGCTCGTCAGTGAGTTTCGCTCCATTTTCGTGGACACTACTTCATGAAATTTTCGTCTAAATGATTAACAAATCTTCACCGCGGGGTTCGAGTTGGGAATTCGTCCTATGACGGGTTGATTGGATATGGGAAGCACCTAATTATTACCAAACTAAGTAAAGTAGGTGAATCACCAACCACCCGAGACGTGGAAATAAATGAAGCACGAACGAATTATCGGATAAGCCACTCGAATATGAGCTCATTTCCTGTCTGACTAGGTAATTCATAATAATTGGCTGTGGTGGTACCACCTAGTTACGTGCATGTGTGTTTGCGATTACATGAATGAATTCGATTGCGTACAAATATGGAATGAGTGATGTTGGTAAGGAATGGGTGGACATTGGTCCCATGAGATTTCCGCCACTGAAATATTCGAGAACGTGTGAAGTGATGAAAGGATTGAAAGAAACGAGGGACCCTAACTCTATTCAACTTAGTAAATGAAATAAGTTTTGTTTCACCATACCCAAAATCGATATTATGTTTGATTGATTCGATAAGAGAACGCCACCAAAAATGTGCGTTATATATCGTACGGAGTTAAAAATTCAAAATTGTTTCCTGTAGCTGCATTTTGAAATCACTTTAGACCGTTCAAACGAAATTTGTGTAGTTTTCATTACGTGTTCTCCTTCTTTGACATTATGTATAGTAGGACTTAATCGATTCTTTGGGCACTTGGACGCTTCCGAAAAATTATCTGGACCTACTGCTTGTGTTTTTTACTGGCTGAGCAAGTTTCTGTCCTGGAATCCCAAAAAAGAATCCCAAGGTAGGTTTGTAAGCGTCGTCCCAAGATCGTCAACAGGGGCAGTCGCTCGTCTTTGTGGATTGTAGAGAGGCTTGCCTCTCTGCAAATGAATTTCTCCTGGGTTGGCAGTGATTTCTCGCAAAGAATCGCTCTCAGCTGGAATTCTGGACGAGATTTCTGGAAAATACGGTCAAACGTTTGACACAACAAGAAATTAGTAACGGTTCCAGTTTGACTATAAGTTTCACTCTTTGATAGAGTTTATTATAAATTGCAGAATATGTAAGTATTGACGATAATATTTCACCACGACATCATATTAACTAAAAAACGGTTACAGCAGCAAAAAGTTAGTCTTTTCACGGTGAAAGTTCAGTCGTGTGAAAAACGAAACGCCTACATCGCCACACAAGCGCCGTTACCATCAACGTTTGCCGACTTCTGGGAGATGATTTGGCAAGAGACGAGCAATGTCATTGTGGTCATCACCAATATGATCGAAGACGGACGGGTAATGGCATTTTTAAGAAGTGATAATCAGAGTTTAACTTCTTTGTTCGAAAACTTCTCAATTTCTCATTCCAATTATCATAAGTGATGAACAGTTCCGGAATTTGCGTAGGTTAAGATTTCTCATCACAACGTATATATA